TAGAGATGGAAAATTTGGCCCTCGTTGCCATTAGAACCCGATGACTACCTGTAACACAACAATAATTTTGATGTCAGTTGTTCATCAGTCCCCAAAGACATTTCAGAAAAAAACGAGTCCTTAAACTTTTATTGCCTTAACAATAGCTGATTGATGCAAGAAGACACTATCAAATTACTACTGGGGAAATAGCTTGACTTGACATTGCAGCTAGATCTTTCTGTGGGTGAATGAGCCGACAAAGTGGCTCATTGTAAAAGGATGCAGAGCAGAATTAGGAAAGAAAATTCTGTGGCTTGAGAACAATATATACTGTATGTATATAACTGGAAGATGGTTTTATGTGTTTTTATGTTTTGTTTGTGTTTGTTTGTTTCAAAAATAATTTTTTTAAAAAAAGAACAATACTGCAAATAAAATATGAGATACAAGATGAAATACTAGTAGTCCTCATGTTGCAATGGCAATTGGGATTGAATGGGTGCTGTTAGGAATATAAGTCACCTAACAGCTATTTGGGTTAGAAATATATATAAACCAGGATAAACATTTTAGTACTATATCTTTAAGGGAATGCAAGAGCATCCAATTGGGTGTGGTTTCTCAAACAGCCATAAGATGGAGCCAGAAACCTGGTTTGTTTTAGTTGTAGTCTCAGAAGGGAGTGTGTCTGAGTGAGCATCTCTGTTTCCTTCTGATGGAAAGTATTGCTGTTCCTCCATTTCTTCTAATTGACTGATATTACTGGATTTAATGTAAGTCTGATACTGAACTGTTTTTGACACTGGAATTTGATATTTGGATTATCCCTGGATTGAAAAACTGACTGATTTACCTGTGAATGACTTTGGACTGCCTATTTTGGACTTTGCTTAAACCTTTCTGGAAGTAAAAACCTACATTTACTGTACAGTGTATCTGTGTACTGTGTGTGTATTATTCAAACACTTCTCTCAAATACGTCTCCCTGTATGCGCTCATTCTCCTAACGGGGAATTACATCAACAGGTGCCATTCAGTGATGCAGTCATAAAGTGCGACATTACATGACCCCATTGCTTAATGACAGCAATTCCAGCAGTCCTGGTTACTGTTGTTAAGTAAGGACCACATATGAGTGGATAAGTGAGGACCTCGTGTGTCTTTTGACTTCCTGCTGGCTTTCCCATTGACTTTGCTCATAAGAAGCCAGCAGGGAACATAGGAAATTGTGATCATGTGGACTAGAATATGCTGTAATGTTATAATTGTGAGCTGGGCACCAAGCATCCAAATCACAATAACCTGATCACAAGGATGCTATGCACTCCAAGGACCTGTCATAAGTCCCCCTCATTAATTGCCACTGCAGGTTTGAATGGTTTCTGAACCATTCATAACCCCAAGACCACATGTAATTCTTTTCAAATAAAGCTGTGCTAAGCAGGTATGCCTTCCAGTTCAAATCCTTGTGTAACTGATGATTTCAACAAGCCATCTACTCAGTCTAAGTTCCTGATCAGTAACAGTCATCTCTGTGATTAGAGATTATTACAAAATTATGAGTTTATTATGTGCAGAGAGACTGAAACATAGAAGAGTCTTGCTATCAGTAGAAAAACACTGGTAACCGCTGCTTCTTAAATCAGCACCGAGGAATCTGTTATGCCACACTCTCCAGTTCATAGTTATTGTATTTCACATAAAGTGTTCTCCTATGCACAGAGATATTGCAGCATAGGTACTGTTCAAATATCCCACATTGATACTGAAAATTACTGTCCTTCCTTGTGTTAGTCAATCTGGGTGGAAGTCCGCTGCTAGTAGTTGACTCATCTGTGCTTTAGGCATTCAAGTACTGTTCTTGTTTAGCCAGATCATGTCTTGACCATGTGCTGTCCAGCTCTTCATGTTCTTGACCTATTGTTGGATGTCTGCTACCATGATGGGGACTGGTTCAGTGGTGGGATTCAAAAATTTTTACTACCAGTTCTGTGGGAGTGGCTTGGTGAGCGTGGCAGGGGAAGGATACTGCAAAATCCCCATTCCCTCCCCACTTCTGCGGGAAGGTTACTGCAAAATCCCCTTCCCACCCCACTAACCTGCTTTCCAGCTCCGTTCTCCTGTGCAGGGCAACAAAAGAAGACCCAGCCAATCAGCTGGGACTCATGAGGCGGAGAATAGGTGGGGGTGGGGCCAGTCAGAGGTGGTATTTGCCGGTTCTCCGAACTGCTCAAAATTGCTGCTACCGGTTCTCCAGAACTGGTCAGAACCTGCTAAATACCACCTCTGGACTGGTTTGTATTCTGGAAGATTGCTAGGATCTGGTCTCAGGTCCTATAGTATTGCTGTTATGTATCTTCTTTTTTTTCATATCTTCATGTAGTACTGTTCAAGTTCTGCTGTTGGTGGCTCTGCTATTACTATGTGGTTGCACTGTAGTTGGAAATATACCTTAGATCAGGGGTGTCAAACTTGCTTTGTCATGGCAGCATCATAGACAATTTGAGATTTACTTCTAGATGAACTCTGGGCAATCACTGCAGAGAAAGCATTGAAGTCTGTTGCCAATACAGACTGCCCACCTCCTTCTGAATTTAGGAACTGATTATGTCATTCTACTTCTACTCCCAATCTATTGCAAAGGCATTCCTTGCTTGTGTTTTCCAGCTTCAATTCAGAAATGCTGTTTTTTAAAAATCTGGGCTGCCTTAAGCCTTTCACAACAAATGATCTCCAGCTCTTCACACTGTTCTAATAGCAGCCTCAGTTTTGATTGGCTGCAATGTCTGGCATGACCCTTCTTCCCCAATTGCTGGTTACCCCTTTGTAATGATATGTGGGAATGACTTTGGGAGATAGGATGATGGAATGGGACAACTCGCCATGGCCAGCTTGCCATGGTCAACTTGCCATAGCTAACTTACCCTCACCAATTTGCTGTGGGACAACTCACTGCAACACAATTCAACAATCCAATTTAATTATTTAAAATAATAAAAAATATTATAATTTTTGACATTCACATTTTATTTTGTCCCTTTTTTGCACTCTTTCTTAAATTAGTCTATTCCACCTTTTCTTTGATATTAATCTAACTCTTGTCCTGTGGCGAGTTGTCCCAGGGTGAGTTGGCCATGACAAGTCAGCCCACAACAAGTTGGCTGCAGCAAGTTGGCCATGGAAAATTGCCCTGGTGAGTTGGCCATGACGAGTTGTCCTAGACCCCTAATTTTATGGTAATGTTGCACAAATAGACTCTTGAACGTCCGAGAGTACATCATCCCCCACCAAGTTTGCAGTCCAAGAAACCAGAGAAGACCATTCTGAGATGCTTGCCATACCCCAACTCCTTCGGCAGACTCAGCTGCCACTTGTCTAACTGTTGTGGCTATTCCTCCTATTCAAGTTGGGACAAACATGTTCCTTTTGCTTTTTATCCCATAGCAACAATATTGCAAAGCATCCATCCCTGTGGGATTCACAAGTGGAAACTACAGTTTAAGCACTGGTTAAGTCAAGTATAAGCAAATCTTAGTGTTATATAACCAACCTGGTGTTCTTCGGATTATCACTTAAATTACAATTCCACGGCCTGGGCATTCAGACAGATCAGTTGGTACCAGAAAATAGTAGACACTCCTTTAAAAGGGGGGGGGAAATCACCTTCAAGTTGAGCTCAACTCCTGATGATTTATGTGGACATAACTATATGTAGCTTTCCTGACATGATATGGAAGTGCTTTACCAATTTTTCTCCTGGGATTATTTTTCTGTCTTGTCCCAATGTATCCTATATTCCTAGAGCTGTCAAGCACCAACTCTGTTTAACTTTCTAGAGTAGGTATGAACATCTAGATGTTACCACTTAAACTAGCAAAATAGTTTAAGTACAGTACATAATATAAACCTATATGGGCAAAATATTTACTACGAGTAAGACCAAATTATCTCCAGTTAGTTCTTAATTCTTACATACTGAGTTATAATTCAGGTTTAGGCTGCACAGATTAATACAACTGTGACCAGAATCTATTTAATATTGGAGGGAAACAAAGGGACCTGCATATATAGCTGCTTCTTTGCTTCTTCCTCTGGCATAATTTTCCTATGCCACGCACTTTGCTGTCCTCTAGTGTCACTGCCTCAACATAGCACCATGATTTTGATCTACAAATAAATCTACCCCACTGAATATTTGTTCATCAGTTGTCTATAACGCTTTTAGTGAAAGAAGTACTTTGCACAACATTTCTGTTCAATCAAATACTATTTTGCAAGTATCTGAAACTATGTGTACAGAACATGATGTGGTTCCTGCCCCCGAGAACTTGTATATTAGATGGACAAAGTGAATGCGGAAAGATCGGTGGAAGAAGTCCTGAGGATAAATGAGAAAAGAGTGGTGTTGTGGCAATGGGAACTCTGCAAATGTTTTGCTGAAGAACTGATATAAGAAATGGAAGTGGCATGAGGAATGGAGAAGAGGAGGCAACTATTATAATACACCCAGCAAGGGGAGCTAATAGATAACATCCAATTCTACCTAACCAAGGTATGGATTATAGAAATGAATCCCATGTTTTCCGAGTCTCAATATTTCTCCATGGATTGTCTCATTAAACATTAGCTTTGCTAACTGATATTCATACATTATGGGGCTAATAATAATGGCAGTGATCTTAGTTGTTATCCCTAGCTGTGATGGTTAGTTATATTTCACATAATCAAGATTATATTTCACATAATCGACTAAGGCAGTGGTGGGATTCAAAAAATTTTACTACCAGTTCTGTGGGCATGGTTTGGAGGGCATGGTGTGGCTTGGTGGGCATGGCAGGGGAAGGTTACTGCAAAATCTCATTCCCTCCCCACCCCACTAACCTGCTTTCCAGCTCCGTTCTCCTATGCAGGACAACAAAAGAAGACCCAGCTGGGACTCAGGAGGCAGGGAATAGATGAGGGTGGAGCCAGTCAGAGGTGGTATTTGACAGTTCTCCAAACTACTCAAAATTTCCGCTGCCGGTTCTCCAGAATTGGTCAGAACCTGCTGAATACTACCTCTGGTCCAAGGGCAGAATGTACATTTTGCATATAAAAGATCCAAGTTCAATTCTTTGAATGTGGGATTTCCAAATAATACCAGTAGATACCACTTTCTCATTTGTTTTTATTAGCTCTATTGACCTTACTTGCTCATATCATATAAAATATGATAGTATGACTATCAAGCATTCCTCCATATGTTTGGTAAATTTATATAAATATTCAGCTAGGCAAACTAAGGATCATATTGCTTAAAAGGTTTATTAATTCTCATAATAAATAAAAAAGTTGTTTATTTCACATACATAAAACATGTATAGACTATAAAGAAAATTCAGTTCTTTCCTGTGAACAATTCAATTCTCAGCATCTTTATCAAAATTAAATCAAGAAATGACTGTAGCTGAAGATCTTTACCAAATCCTAGGTATCATGAACAATATATATAGCTCTCTCTATATAGTAACATTATATATCATACTAATGTGTGGTTTGTTTCATTTATGCTTCACTGCTTTATTTTTCTAAACGGTGATTTGTGGCTTAGTGTTATGGGTGAGTCATGTTGCTAAAATTTAATTAACCACAGCTAAAGCAAATCATAATTTAAAATGTGTGAACCCAGCATCTGCCCCCCACCAGCACAGACAATACTATACTACTACTGTATTAACCACAAACATTTTCACAAATTGGTAAGCTGAGATAAAGGCAAAAATACTCATGAACCAATTTTGCACCTTAGATTTCCTGCCTCCACGTTCCAATCTTACATTTGAGGGCAAAAGTGTCTGCTGAGAGGATCAAAAACATCAAGAGACATGATGATTCAATCAAACCCCCATTCTTGCCTCAACTATACGGTTGCAGCAACTATCTTGACAATTTTGACTGCCCATCTACAAATGGCCCTACTTATGGGACACCAATTTGGTTCTGAGAACTAGCCTAAGCTTCCCTGAAAAAGGAAGCTAAAAATTAAATGGAGGAAAGAATATAAATAGTTGCCAAGTGAAGTGATGTACAGTATCTTATACAGAGAAGCAAGAAGGGTCCATAATTTCTGCCCTTCAGAACTAGACACAGCTGGGTGTGTTAAAATATCTGCTTAACATCTTCTTTCCTTTTTTCTGTCTAACTTGCCTTTTCAAAGCAAGATCACCTGCAAATCTTGGGCTGTAGATTAGAATGAAAACTTGGGGCGGGGAGGGGAATCCAGGAAAAAGACTTTGGTCATTTACTTCTGAACTGTTGCCAAGAAAATTACTTGAACATATCCCTCCAGTCATGAAGAGTCAAGGTGAACTCAAGGAGACTTATCCTTATTAAAAGAATACACTTTCTAGAATGCCAAACATCTGCCTTCATCTACAGAGTTCATCCAGGGGTGGGATTCTACCAGTTTGCACCTATTCGCTAGAACCGGTTGTTAACATTCTAAGCAGTTCAGAGAACCAGTTGTTAGAAGAAATTACTGGCCTAATCCTGTAAGGAAGGCAGGAAGGAAACATTCTGGTGTTGCTTACAGAAACTGCCTCTCTCCGTTAACCCTTATTACATTCTTGGCAGGACTAGACTTCCTGTCTCAGAAACTTCTCTGGAGTTTTTTTCCCCTCCTTTGCTGGTACTTTGCTTGTGTGGAGTGACCATTCAAAGTTACAATGGCACTGAAAAAAGTGATTTATGACCATTTTTCACACTTACGACTGTTGCAGCATCCCCACAGTCATGAGAGGCCAGGGGAGGAGATGTGTGCCTCGATGTGAGTGATATTGAGTTGGCCACGCCCAGACAATAACATGACCACCAAGCCACGCCCCCAACTAAGCCACGCCCACAGAACCGGTTGTTAAACAATTTGAATCCCACCCCTGAGTTCATCCTCAGAATACTAGCCATATAGTCAACCACATTCAGCATTGTTCTGTGATTCCTTCTCTCATACTACAGAATAACCAAGGGATTGCACACTAGGGGATTATATTTATCAAACTGTGGGACATTTCAGGTAGTACATACAGTATAAACAGAATAGCAATTCCGTTGCAATGAAGGTATGATAACAGTCTTCGAATATTTGAGGAGCTGTCACAGAGAGGAGATGGTCAACCTGTTTCCCAAAGCACCTGAGGGCCAGGCAAAAAAAGAATAGATGGAAGCTTAACAAAGAGAGTTTCCTGTCAGTGAGAACAATTAATCAGTGAAACGGCTTGTCGCCAGAAGTTGTGAATGTTCCATCACTGGAGGTTTTTAAAAAGAGATTGGACAGCCATTTGTCTAGAATGTCCAGAATGATATAGGTCTTCTGCTTGAGCAAGGAGGTTGGACGAAAACCAACCAATAATTCTTGTTATTCTGTATTCCATATGTGTGTGTGTGTGTGTGTGTGTGTGTGTGTGTGTGTGTGTGTATCTTTGCATATATATCCATCATGTTGGCATCAGTTCTTACCGATCACATTGTGATATTTTTTTCCAGGAGGATCCCAACCGAGGCCTTCAGGTTTTCCAATGTAATTGCTGCTGTAATTAAGTCCATCCACCCTGCTGATGATGAACTTCTTCTTCTAAATGTCTATGGAGATTCTCAGTCATCCAGGTCATGCTTGTCCCAAAGGTGCTTTTTTTCAAGAGGCAACTGGACTTTCTGGTTTTTTCTTTGAAGATGTTTCACTTCTCATTCAAGAAGCTTCTTCAGGCAGTTTCTGTAAGCAACACCAGAATGTTTCCTTCCTGCCTTCCTTACAGGATTAGGCCAGTAACTGGATGGTGACTGGATGGTGGGGAATGGAAGGATTTATATGCCTTGAAAATGCACCTTTGGATCAGTGTTGGAATTCAATTTTCTTTACTACCGATTCTGTGGGCATGGCTTGGTGGGTGTGGCGAGGAAGGATACCGTAAAATATCCAGTCAGAGGTGGCATTTGCCAGTTCTCCAAACTACTCAAATTTTCCGTTACCGGTTCTTCAGAACTGGTCAGAACCTGCTGAATACCACCTCTGCTTTGGATCTTCTTCTTCTCTTTCTTTGCATTTTTCCCAGCATTAGATCTTTCACTAGAAAGCTAGGACTTCACATCATGTATCCAAAGTATGATAATTTGAGCTTAGTAAATTGTATCTCAAGTGACAATCCTGGATTGATTTGTTCTGCGATCCATTCGTTTGTTTCTTGGCTACCATAGTATTCTCAAGAGTCTTCTTCAACAAAAAGTTGAAAAGCATCAATATTCTTCTTGTCCTCCTTTCTTCAATATCCAACTTTCACTTCCGTTGAGCTTCACAGGCAAGAGCATTGCCTGCATGATTCTGATAGACACATCATAGTGTGAGCTGTAATATAATTGCCATTCTACTTATATATATGCTTACTGGAACGTCCCACAGTTTGACAAAATTGCATTGGTCATTCTCATGAATAACGTCTGCATTTTATTATCCATGAGGTTGCTTCTGAAGGCCACACTGAAACTTCAGCATTGAAATCATCACCAACCTAGCACTGACATCAAGCAGCCCAGGTAGGGATGCCAGCATGCAACGGAAGACTGGTACAACAACTGGAGCAATGCCAACTTGTCACCAGACCTAACTTCACAAATAAGACATCATACCTGGTATACTGCAAAACAGTCTCTTTGGACACCATTGTGGATGCATACAGCATTACAGCCTTACAAAAACTTTCCAGGGCAGCTTATAATGTTATTTTAAAATGTAGTCAGACTACTTTTTTTTTAAAGCAATCTGTGGAATTCAAGAAACAAACACCAAGCTGTTTAAAAACATGCTCAGTTTTTTTAAAAAGTAAAGAAAAACAAAAAGGATTTTGCCTGGCACCAAAGTATGGTTAGTCCTTTCTGTTCCATATACCACATGTCAATTAGACCATCCCCTCCTTTTCCAAAATGTTTACAACTTTTTTGGTAATCCTTGCTGACTGTCCTAGGACATTTGACAGAAGGCGTGACCATTAGTTTAATTTAATATATGTTAGTTTTGGAGGGAGAGCAATTACAATAGACATGCATATTGTCTACCAGCAGGGGGCATCCAGAGACTTTCCTGGTACTTTCTGGAATGAATTCTTCACATTTCATTACAACAGCTTCATATTTGTTGAAAACAGGTTTTAAAAAGTGATAAAATCGCTCCACGTGTATTTCTATTTCTGATGCAGATTTCAAACATCCAAGTGTTGTCAAATCACAAACTATAGGGATTCACAATTGCAATTTATTGATTTCATGAATTCTAAGGAACACCAAGTGAGACAGCGAATATGTGCCCATGCTTTACAAGCCATGCTATAATGTAGTTCTTCCAAACAGATCTAAAATTGAATTTGGCAAGCAGTGCCATATATCCTCATCCACTTATTGTGTTCAGTGGACCAGAATCTTCACAGTCAATGGCTAATTGCCAGGTAGATGCCAAAGGATACCCTTTCTCCCAACTTCCATTATAGAAGTGGCTGTTGTTTTTCTAATCATTTTGGAGAAAAATCTATTACAACAGGCCAGAATACTAGCAATTTTTATATCTGTATTGTGACTTGGCCTTTGTGACTAGTGTTCAGAATATACTGTTTCTTTGTTTTAAGACTAGTAATGAGCACAGATTATTTGTTTCCTTGCTTGCCTTTTGAGGGGTATTGTTGTGTTGGTGTTGTGCCTTTGAGTCAGTCTTAACTCCTGGTAGTTTTCTTAATCTTTTCAGAAGTGCTTTGCCATTTATCACCTGCTTCCCCGGCCTGAGAGACAATGACTGTCCCAAGATCATCCAATTGGCTTTGTGCCTAAGGCAGGACTAGAACTCACAGTGTCCCAATTTCTAGCCTGGTACATTAACCACCAGACCAAACTGACCAAACTCATCAAGAGCTGGTAGAGAGTTAGAACTGAACAAAATCTGGAAGGCAGCATAATGACGTTCCTAACCTAATTAATGAAGTTTATGATCAAAGATTCTTTTGGAAAATTCAGGATGTAGGGGAGAGGATACACACATTTACATGTGTGTTGGCATGACCATATATGCAACTGCTAGCATTGTGTATGCCATAAAGGTTGCCCAGTCCTAAGTTATAGAGATCAAGAAGGAATGGATACTAATCAGTCAGTTATTAAAATTGCAATTATATACTCAACAGAATTATATAAACCTGACAGTAAATATCTGAACTATTATACTATATTGAGCTCCAGTTCTCATTACTATATTCATTTCTTGTACCTACATCAGGGGTCCCCAACCTCCGGTTCATGGACCGGCATCAGGCTGCATCATGCCAGTAACCAGGCCAGGCAAACAAGCTCCATCTGCAGGATGCAGGCAGCACATGAAACCACACCCCTCCAGTCTGCAGAAAAACCTCTCTCCACAGAACTGGTCCCTGGTGACCAATGTTTGGGGGCCACTGGGCTAGTACAAATTCTGAGTGACATATATTTACCTACCTCTATAGAAATAAAATAAAATGAGACAGTCACGGTGGCTCGGTGGCTAAGACATTGAGCTTGTCGATCAGAAAGGTTGGCAGTTCGGCAGTTCGAATCCCTAGCACTGCGTAATGGAGTGAGCTCCCGTTACTCGTCCCAGCTTCTGCCACCCTAGCAGTTCAAAAGCATGTAAAAATGCAAGTAGAAAAATAGGGACCACTTTGGTGGGAAGGTAACAGCATTCTGTGTGCCTTTGGCATTTAGTCATGCCGGCTATAAGACCACAGAGACGTCTTCGGACAGCGCTGGCTCTTTGGCTTTGTAATGGAGATGAGCACCGTCCCCTAGAGCCGGAAACAACTAGCATGTATGTGTGAGGGGAACCTTTACCGTTATAGAAATAAAACACTCTGTTTTCTTTTATCTAGACTTTCTTTTTTCTTATAATCCCTTTTATTCACAAGGAAAAGGACAAACTCCTTTTTTCTTTGCCCCTAATTATAAAAATGCCCAACTTTTTCTGTTGCCACCAGCAGGGAGCAAGGAGACTTGAGGTAATCCCATTTTGTACATGGCCTAGGATGCGCATTGCTCCCTTCTGGCCCTGTATAATAACTGTTCTGTAACCTCAGGGGTTGCTTTTCCTTTTGGGAATGTGCAGTGTGGTATTTGAGCCTGGCTAGCTGACGAGTGCAGGCCATGTTCACCACTGAAGAGAAAAGATACATCGGTAAACTTTGTGGCATGTTTTAGTGGTGGGACCCCCCCCCCCAGCGCATAAATAAGCTAGATGATGCAGGCCACAACTTCAGAAGTTCAAAGAGCTGCCCAGCATTGTTATTGTTGTTGTTGTTATCTTTTGCTGTTGTTACACTGTTATTATACTTTCAGCCCACCTCACGGTTGAGGGTGACTGAAGTTGAGAAAAGGAGAATGAGCAGCTGGAACTCAAAACTCCAGCAATTCATTCTCTATACACCACCTGCTTCCTTGTTTCCTCTTCTATTTATAGCCAAAAGCAGGGAAGCAAAGGTATTAAGAAAGAGCAAACATGGGCAGATATTGCATCAGATGCCGGCTAGGAGTGAATTAAGACAAGCTGGAGCAAGAGAGCTGCTTTTAGGCAAAAGAACTGTCTTTGTCTGTCAATCGTTGTGCTCCCGCGCAAAAGGGGACCAGAAGACTGGGGTTCAAAAGGATGCTGACAAATGATAGTGGGATGGGAGCAGCTGTTTTTGTCCCTGTTACATCTTACCCAGGAACCTTAACAGATAACCAAGAGAGTGTCTGTGGCCATAAGCAATATAGGCAGTGTGCAAATGAATGAGAAACTTGGAAGCCTTCTTTGGTCAGGCGTATTGTTTTTTAGTTATTTTTATTTTATTTATTTGTCAATCGCTTACAAGATAATAGGTATATGTATTAAACATGAGTAAGAATACAGGAAATGGGTACAAATAAATGGGGACAATACGAGAGGGACAGGAGGCACAATGCTGCACTTATGCACGCCCCTTACAGACCTCTTAGGAATGGGGTAAGGTCAATAGCGGATAGTTTTGAGGTTAAAAGAGTGGGGTTTAGAGGATGTAACAACAGAGTCAGGTAGTGCATTCCAGGCATTGACCACTCTGTTGCTGAAGTCGTACTTTCTGCAATCAAGTTTGGAGCGGTTAACATTGAGTTTGTATCCGTTGTGTGCTCTTGTATTGTTGCGTTGAAGCTGAAGTAGTCATTGACTGGTAGGACATTGTAGCAGATAATTTTGTGTCCTAGCTTAAGTAGGCGGCGGAATTCAAGATTGTCCAAGCCCAAAATTTCAAGCCTGATGGTATAAGGTATTCTGTGCAGAGAACTGCTAAGTCCTGCCTTCATGAATCTGGTGCCTTCCGGGTGCACTGGACTTGTCCTATCAAGGCTTGCTCCTGACACCCAAAAAAGGGGAGGGCACTTCGCCTGGCCTGAAGCAAGGGAAGGCTGCTCCCGGATTCTCCCACTGCCCAAGCGGGGCCCAAAGAGCACCGCAGAGAGAGAGAGAGAGAGAGAGAGAGAGAGACCGAAAACCAAGGGGTCGATCGCTTGCTGGCACCCCAACGTGGCAAGTGGCCGCGATCTCCTCGCAACGCTGCTCGGGACAAATGCGCGCAGGCAGGCCAGCAAGCGGTTGATTCCAGCGCCTCCGGGACGGGCGCTCCGAAACGGCTCACAGGCTTTGAGCGCCACCCGGGCGCGCAACCGAGGTTGCTCCGGGCGAGGAACCCGGAGAAGCGAGGAACCGCCTCAGCGGAAAGCACAGGGTTGAAGGGCGCGCGCGCAGCTGTCTCCGGCAATCGGCGACCGCGGGCCCTTTAAGCGTGGAAAGGCTCGCCTCGTCTGCGCACGCGGCGCAGCAAGGGGGATGCGCCGCGGGGAGGAGAGCCAAGGAAAAAGGAAGCGGACGGGCGGGTTTCTCCGGGCGGCCTGAGTCCGGAGCTGCTGCACCCGACGTGAACATCCTCGGGAACGACCTGAAATGCCTTAGCCCTTTGCAGCCCTCTGCTCCCTCTCGGCGGGGAGCAGGGTTCCGGCGGAGGCTTGGCGACATGAACCGGGTCCAGCTGAAGCGCTCTGCGATCCTCAAAATGGCCCTCGGCGGTGCGTCGGAGCCGCTGCTCCAGCAGCAGCAGCAAGAGGAGGAGGAAGAGGAAGATAGCGAGGGCGGCCGCAGCAGCAGCAGCAACGGCAGCAAGGAGCCCCCGTTCCTCTTGCGGGCCGTCCGGATCGCCGTAGTGGTCTGCCTCTACTGGTTCATTTCTATCACCATGGTCTTCCTCAATAAGTATTTGCTGGGCAGCCCTTCGCTGCGCCTGGATGCGCCGCTCTTCGTCACTTTCTACCAGTGCCTTGTCACCGTCCTCATTTGCAAGCTGCTCAGCCTGCTGGCCTCCTGCTGCCCGCCGGGCTTCGTGGACTTTCCCTCCATACGGATCGACCTCAAGGTCTCCCGCAGCGTCCTGCCCCTTTCCCTGGTCTTCATTGGCATGATCACCTTCAACAACTTGTGCCTCAAATTCGTTGGCGTGGCCTTCTACAACGTGGGCCGCTCCCTCACCACCGTGTTCAACGTGCTCCTCTCTTACTTGCTCCTGAAGCAAACCACATCCGTGTATGCCCTTCTGTCTTGTGGGATGATCATTGGTGAGTGGAGCCTTCCCAATGGCCCCAGCTAAACAATCCTGTGGCTGCCACTTTCTCCAGTATGTGGCTTATGTCTCCCATTATCCTCAACCAGTCTCACCACTGCTTGGGAATGATGGAAGTTGACATTGGGCATCATCTATTATATCTACAGTGTGCAAAGGTTTATTTACTGGGGGGAAAGCCCATTAGGATTCAGTGAGACTTACCCAAGAAAACAAGTGTCAAATGCACCATGGGGCATTCAAGGTCCTTGAATGGTTTGCTTGCAGGATTTCAGTTTAACCTTAGCAACTATAGAGAGACTGCTAATATTCTAATGTTTACTCCTTATTTTTATTGGCCATTGTGCTGCACAACTCATGGCAGTCAGTAGTGATTGGGCTTTTTGCTTTTTTAAATTATTTGATTTAATAACTCTTTCCCTCACAATCCTTGTCTAAAATTTGCCAAAATCTACTCTAAAATGCCCACTCAAAAGAGCATCCTAGTATCCTTTAGAATGAGCTTAGATAATAAGAGCCACATCCAGAGTGGCTCTAAAAAGAACAGTTCAATCCTATAGAATCTTAGAAGTGATAAGGAAGTAAACACAGTAATGCATCCTAAAAGGTATTGTTTCCTGATGATGCCATATGCATACAGTTCAGATCTCCATTGCTGATTGTGAGTGTGGGAGAATGGGGATGCTTGTTAATTAAATATATGGAAAAGGCAAGGCTACACCTTTGATATATGGCCACAATAAAAGGGGGAGTTTGTGTTCCCAACTTACAGGACAAAAACTTGAGGGTCAGATAGTTTGGTAAATCTTTCTTGCTCAATAATGCTTGGAATGAAACTGATGTAACATTTCTTGTTCATTAATATCAGGTGGAAGAGAACTTGATAGAATTGATTCAATTCTGCTAACTTTTATTATTAGTTTGCTTAAGCTTGCTAACTATTAATATACAATCTAGTGGCTTATGCTGGAGAATATAAAGCTTCACTTTTGCAAAGATACATATAGCTATTATGTCTATGGAGATTCTCAGTCATCTAGGTCATAGTTGTCCCAAAGGTGCTTTTTCAAAATAAAACTGGACCTTCTTGTTTTTCTTTGAAGATATTTCACTCTCAGCTAAAGAATCTTATTGGATGAGAAGCAAAAGGTCTTCAAAGAAAAACAAGAAAGTCCAGTTGCCACTTGAAAAAGCACCTTTGGGATACAGCTATTGTGTTTATAGTCACAAGTTTTAAAACTTACAGGCACTCTTTGACAGAAAATTATGGAGTGAAGGATCTTAATGAATAGTGATTCAGTCTCAGCAAACAATTTCAGCTCAGACACGGATTAATATTCACATGAGAGATATCGGGAAATTCCAGGGTTGTAGGCTAGACTGGCCTGTTTTAATCCACCAAGAGTATTAGAGTAACTGGGTGGGGAATTCTGGGAGTTGAATCCACACCTCTTCAAAGTAGCCGAAGTTGAAAAAAAATAGTCTATTATATCCAAAGTTTAAAAATGTCCACATTGTTTTATTTTACATAGGTATGAGGCTTGTCTCCTGCTTTTTGTAGCCCAATCAGTATATTTTCCATCTCTTTTACATTGCAGGTGGCTTCTGGCTTGGGATAGATCAAGAGGGAGCAGAAGGCACTCTGTCCTGGGCAGGCATCATTTTTGGGATACTTGCCAGCCTCTGTGTCTCACTGAATGCTATTTACACTAAAAAAGTTCTTCCTGCTGTGGATGGCAGCATCTGGCGTCTGACTTTCTATAACAATATCAATGCTTGCGTCTTGTTTTTGCCCCTTTTGTTGTTCACAAGTGAGTTCTTCACACTATACCACTTCGATAAATTGGGAAGCATCCATTTCTGGGGCATGATGACTCTAAGTGGGATATTTGGCTGCGCTATCGGCTATGTGACTGGACTTCAGATCAAATATACCAGCCCCCTTACACATAATGTTTCTGGGACTGCCAAAGCCTGTGCCCAGACACTGTTAGCTGTCTTCTATTATGAAGAAACCAAGAGCTTTTTATGGTGGGGTAGTAACATGATGGTTCTAGCGGGCTCTTTTGCATATACCTGGGTAAAAGGATTGGAGATGAAGAAGGTACAGGTAGAACCTCTTCCAAAAGCAAATGAAAAAAATGACAATCTGGTCTGAATTTGCCAGTCTTGCATCTCTCTGAAGGAATAAAATGAAGTTTAACTAGCAAGAGACCGCTTAATGTTTCCAGGCAAGCGTAGCCTGTAATTACCCATGTAGAAAATAGAAGATAGGACAAGATTTCCAATGTATTGCATATTTGCTACAATAATCACTGGAAAGGGGAAAAGATCAATTTTTTTACAAGTGATTTTCTTTTGCAAACGCCTTCTCTTTAGTAAAGGTGAGGGTCTTGTGTTCTGTTAAAAAACGACTTTAAACAAGTAGGAATAGGTGGGTCCTTGCTCTACTTGCTTGAAGTTATATGTGTGTTCTGTAGATATGTTTCTCTTTGTCTCCTCACACATCACACTAGACAGTCCAGTGTGCTTCCTGGAGAGGCAGGAGAACAGTTCTCTTAGATTGCTGGCCCTCCTGCCCTTGTGAGACAAACAAGTTGCAAGAAATACAGATTTGCAACTTGCCTGGTGAAAAGGTAACCTCAATGCCAAGATTCTCGAGCATTTTTCTGCCAGTGCTTCTCAGCACATTTATCATTCCTCTGGACAGCCTAATTGGAAAGGAACTGAACTAAAGGAAAATAGGAAAGGGCATTGAAAGGTCCCCTGGTTTGGTTCCTTCTAGATCTAAATGGCTTTAGGTAGTCAGCTATTTTTCCCAGCACTGTTGAAGAAACAGATGTCAATGATTATTAATGGACTCTTACAAAGTTAAAAATATTGGCATGTTCTTGCTCTTAAAAACCATTTCGTGAGCAAGTGCATTAGTTTTTGATATGCACTCTCCTTATTGAGAGGGCCACCTTGGCTTCAGGAAACCAAACATCATTGGAATGTATAATTCCATTTGCCTTTGACCTTTGCTAGTGTCCTTACCTTGTTCTCACTTTCCTAATTTTGTGTTGGGAAGTGTATACCCTCATTGTAGATCTGCAACTGATAAATGTGTTTAATAAAACGTTGATTTGTTATTTTCAGAATGGCTCTCTGATTCTTTGTAACAATAGAAATGATAAGGAAGTGGAGCAGAGGGCACTGATAATATATTGCCTCCTGACTCACAGGCAAAATACTTTAAAAGCAACCCTGAAGGAGAAGTAGTTAATGAGGTTATTGTCCTTATAGACGGCTTATAATTTTTCTGGATGCATCAGATTAGCCGCTGGGCTTAATGGCCATTCGCTTTGATTCAACAAAACTGCCTTTATTTCCTTAAGCTATGATGTCTTGGATAAACACAAACATAAATATGAGTAATCTTCAATAATGGCCACGAGTTGTACAGATCATAAAGCAGGTCACCATGTGACCATACCTAATTTTATGATCTTTTTGAAGTAGTCATTAAGCAAGTCCATTGTATCAATTGGATTTTTTCTGCTGGAAGCCAAAAGTTAAGTGTATATTTCTGGCCAAAAAAAACAAACAAAAAAGGTGTAAATTTTGATCATTTGACTACAGGATGCTGCAAATGGCCATAAATGCAGGCCGGTTGCCAAATGCCCAAATGTGACCATGTGACCACTGAAGATGGCAGCCATTGTTAACTTTGAAACCAGGTTGTAAGTAGTTCTGGGGAGGTGATGTAACTTTGAATGGTTGCTAAGCAACTGGTTGAAAGTTGAGAACTACCTGTACCTCAAAGCAGAAGATTCATCGTAAAGGAGGGCTTAATTTTCAAATCCTACGGGGTATTTAACACTAGGTTTTTATTTCAGTTCATCAGCAACTTGGAGCACCAAACCAGTTTCATCTCAGTATATGAGAACTGGAACCCAAATGCCATTCTCCATCATCATTCTCATTTATCAGCCCAAATCAGCCATCTTCCTTTTCAACTGTTTCCCAATTGCTTTTATGTACTGCAGATCCATTTCCACTTAACACCTTTGAACTGATTACATCATCTGCCCACCATTTCTTGAGGTGTTTTCTAGGTCTTTTAAGGTCAATTGGTATCAAACCAAGGATTATTGCTGCCCAATATGGAACTGTTCATTGTGCAATACACAGTAGTGGAAAAACATGCATTTTCTAACCCAAATTAATTGAAGGGGCTAGGTTTTCACACTTGTTTGTTCTATATAGAGAGTTTACTGTATACGCTCAAACCCAAATTATTTTTTTAACCAAACAGTAGCTGCTTTTGAATGTTTTATTTTCTTTTTGAGATAAAAATTTATACCAATAAAACCAGCAAGATGAAAAGTAAAGGAGCAGGATAGTAATTCATTCAAAGCTGAATAACTGGATCAGAAAAAGATACAAGCATATAAAATCTGACTTCCCTATTAAGAGTCTTGCATTAGTCCCAAGCAAACCAGATGCATACAGGCACAGAGTTACAGAGTAAAATGCAGGCAGGCAGGTTTGTGGATTTGAATGCCATGAAGGCATAATTGAAGCTGAAAGGATTTATTGAGCAAAGCAAAAGAATATGTCTAACCGCAAAAACTAACAGGCAATATTTACAGGCATAACAAGGCATGGTAACAATCAATAAAAGAGTGTAAATACTGGGTAACATCTCATATCCCTGTGGCTACGATGAATCTTTCCTTATCACAGCCAATCACAAATGTTTCCATATTCCAGCTGTCATTCAGCACCTTTCTCTACCAGGCCTACACTGAGCCTCTCCCTAAACAGGTTTCTAAAAGCTTATATAATATGCTGCTGCAATTGCTCATCCTCTTAATTAAATGCATTTGTTGTTTATGTTTTGGCCTAATGGTTACCGAAAGTGGCAGTACTAATTCCTACACAGCCAGGTGGCTTGGCCTGTACTGGCAGATCAGCAGACGTGCTAGGCAGCATGAGAAAAGTGACAATTAGGCAAGGATAGGGGAGGCCAGAGGTCTGCATACTGTCCTTTTTAAAAAAAGCTGAGGCCTTGCTGTATTATCCACAAAAAATGCAGAAGAGGACTATTTTAAACAAGAAAACGGGAATGAAATTCATCACCTAACTACTTCTTAATAACAAATGGTGCCTTCCTAATAGCAATACCTAATTAGAGAGCAAGTAATCAGATTTCTGTTCTTTGTTGTTCAACTCTATGTGCTGAATTAGGGCAGCAACATATTTTCCTGTAATGAATAATTGGTAGCTCTGCATGTTTACAATCCATGAAATACACTGCCCAAAATTTTGGGATTTGCCCAGTATAATGTTATCTATACTTTAGGGAAAAAACCTATTTAACATAAGAAATCTTCCTCTGGAAAAAGAAGCATTGTCAACCTGACACAGCCTGAGGCCTTTAAATGAAGGTAGACTGCAACTTCAGAATTCAATTGGTTATGCATACTGGGAGTTGTAGTTCAAGAGATCTCCAATTTCTTTCATAATCAAATAGCAGTTGGAACTATCTCTATCTGTTCAATCTTTTTATTATAAGCTTCCTGAATTTGTTTCAAATCATGTAGTGACCAGGTTTTCACCCTGCTGTAGTTTAGTTTGATTTTGATTAAGCGTGCTGTGTGAACCACATCATTGTATTATATCAACCACATTTTATACTCTAATACAAACTATTATATAAATCAAATCAGCAATGATTTCTGGTAGACAAAGATGTGTGAATACAATACATTGCTTGGATGAAATCCTTTAACTTGAAAACTAAACTTACAGAAGTTGTGGGTTCTCTATCTCCTGAGGCTTTTAAAGGCTGAACTCGATATTCCCATGAATGGTCTAATCGGTTTTTTTCTGTACATTGAAGATAGAGGATTAAATCAGTGTTTGTCAACCTTGGAGATTCTGTGTTGGCTGGGGAATTCTAGAAATTGAAGTCCATACATCTTAAAATTGCCAAGGTTAAGAAATACTGCTCCAGATGATCCTTTTTTTTTTTTTAAAGACAAATTTTATTAGTTTTACAAAACAATACAAAAACAATCAAGGCATAATAACATAAAAGATCTTTTCTAAGAAAAGCAATAGAACATACAAAATAGTTCCAAATTGTAATATATATATTTACGTTATCTGTTCAACTTCGTATCTTATCCCAACTTCTCCTTTTCATTCTATTATCCAAATTATATTTCTTGCTAATTAAAATTTTATTGCCTTTCAAAAACAATACACAAACATACAAAACATAAAACATAAAACATAAAAAACATAAAACATCTTTTCTGAAAGCTGCTTGATCCCGGGTTAAAACTCTTTGCACAGACACAAATTCAAAAATCATATTTACTTTATATATCATTCCATATCTTATTACCATATTCAATTTTCTATATAGCTTCTTCCCTCTTTTATCTTTCTTAATTTTATTTTATTTATCTTATCTCAATTCAATTCATAATACTTATCATTCTTTGTCTGTTCTATTTCCAGCTATCCATCTTTTCTCTTTAAATATACTTCTCCTGTACACTGATTGGAGTGACGCCTTTGACTCTTTCCCCTAACTTAATAATACTTAATATAACACTTAATTTATATTGGGATTCTGTTTAGTACATTCTAAAATTACACAATAAATTTTATGAGAAAAACAAAAACACACCAATAACAAAATAAAAGCATATAGAACCACTATCAATACCATTAAAAAGCTAATCATATATATTGATATCATTTATATCTTAAACATTTTACTCTAAATACACATATAAAAACACAATCTTATGTATCTTCCAGAATCCCTTTTTCAATTAGATTTACCCATTGTCTCTAAATAAGTTTTGTTTCTTTAAATCTTGCTTCCCAGCATTAAGGCTTCTCATCCCCTCCTTTCTCTCTTGCTTATTTTTCTCCTTGCCCTTTTTACCCCTTTGTCTCTCCTCCTCCCTTTTCTTCTTCTGCTTACCCCCTTTCTGTTGTTTTCTAACCTTGTATCCACCTTTCATCTCATTTTTCTCTTTTTTGATTGTTTTTTCAAACCTTAAAATCCCCCTTTTCTTTTCCTCTTTCTCCTCCTCCCCAAAAAGAACCCATTGTTCATCAAAGATGGCTTCTTCTTCTTCTTTGTCCCAGTCGTCCTGCTGCGTAGTCAATTTTTCATAAGTGCATACCGCCATTTCTAGAAATTGAAATAGAGTGCCCAAAGTATCTTTTCCATCTTGTTCTTCTTTTTTATATTTTTTATATTCAATTTTTAGTTCATCCACAAGCAATGCCATCGTGAAGAGAAAAACTTTTTCCAAAACAACCACCCAAGTATTTTTAATCAAGAATAATTCCAAAAAGTTCCAAAGTCACCAAAGAATCCAAATAAACTATTTCTTTTAATACTTTTTTTCTTTCTTGTATTTCTCTTTCTGGGGTTACTGTTTAATCAAAGAGTTCCAATTAAGATATATCTTTCTTTAAAGTTCTAGGCAATCTCCTCCTCTTTCAAATTCTGCTCCAATTTTTTTTTCCTCTCCCTTCCCACTTACAACAATTTTCCTTTAAATGTTCAGAAATTCATACCTCCAATACAGGTTTTCCGATTTCTTAAGTTATTAAATCCAATGTCCAGGAATCCTTTATCCCTTGGCTTTATATGGGGTGGGAGAGTGAAGAAAAAAAAACAACTTTCCCTTGACAGCTTTCTCCGCCACTTTCCAATCTTCTTAGGGATACAATGTATCTTTTAGGCAATTCAAGCAATTCAATTTCCAGGGTATTTAAAAGTTGTTATTGTCCCAGCTCAGCCAGCACTTTCACTTCTCCTGTTTCTTCTTTCTCCTTCTTCCTCCAGCACAGTCTTATCCAGCTGCCGGCTTCTTTGTGGCGGCCATTGCTGACCGCCGCTCCACTGCCTTGAGAAAAGGAGGTTATGCCGGGTGGGGAGGGGGTCTGCGATACCCCCCAAACCCCTCTCCGGATCCTCCCTATCTTCGGCTGCCTCTATGGGGCAGCCTTATCCTCCAGACCCGTCAGGATCGGAGGCACCAAGACAGCTAGCGCAACAGGGATCACGCAGGATCGCGAATCCTCGCCGCCGCCGAAGCCTGGCAAACCGGAAGTGCTCCAGATGATCCTTGTGGTCCCTTCCAACTATGATTCTATGAAATAGTAATGTATTTATACCATCTTGGACTATCAGAAGCAACAATGCTGTTATTGATAGGACTTGAAGATGCTATGAAAAGAAGAGGAGGATACTATTACTGTTATTGACTTTGCCAAATGAAAAAGGTTATCTCAGAAATCAACTGAACAAACACTATTTTATTTTAACTTGCAAATAAAACTTAAAGAGTCCACCTAAAGTCAACAACTCTCATATTGCAATATGAATTAAATCAGGATCTAATACAGGAAGCCAGCAGTCAAAGCAATGGGGGTGTAAGGTTAATTGCACTATTTAATAAATCATTAACAGGACTGTACTATTGAATAAAACCATTAGCTAACAGGAAATTGCCAGAAGTGGTGAGTGCAGCCCCTTACCTGAACCCCTGCACCTGTTCTATTCATTCTTTCAAGCCAGTATCCGTTCCTAGATAGTATTTGTGATTTTTGGCTGGCATCTCATTTAACTCACTCCTCCCAACTTGAGAGACTAGAAGACTAGAAGTCTTTGAATGAGCAAGCAAATTAAGTCAGCCCTGCCACACATTCCTCAAGCTGTGTGTGCATGTGTTGCCCTGTTTACATCAGAACATTTGTTGATTTCTGAACAACTAGGCTATGAAGAATAGATCACAATTAGTATCGGAAGACAAAGATATATATACCTGCTGTTCTCACTCCAGAAAGTCTGTTGCTTTCAAAAACAGTACTGGATAGTAGTCTTGTCTTTTCTTGCCCTGCAGAAAAGCAGCTTAAAGGGCATGCATAAACTGAATGGAACTAAAGCTAGTTTTCCAAATTTCAATTCCTTCCTCTGCTTTACGGTCCATGTTTATTACAAGCCCTAATTGGCAGATTCCCAATCATCTTTACTTCTCCTGGACTGAGAAGGGAAGGAGGGACACCATTTGTTGACCTTTTTCCTGTCACTTGATCTGGACAGGGAAAAACATTTGTCAATTTCATCTGGTTAAATCACACAGGTCCATTTC